TCATTTATAGGATCCGCACTCTGGGAAACAACTTGTAGAAGACAAAATAAAAACCAAAACTCTGTGTAATTCTGCCTTAGCTACCATCTTTGAAGTATTTTATTGTGTGTGTGCACCCGATGATGCAATCACATCCTAGACAGGAGCTGGGGCCTACCTGTCCCATGAGCCACTGGGATAGGCTCCTGCTACCCACAACCCCGAACTGGAATACATAGGTAGGAAAATGAATGAATATAAGTGACTGAAAAATAAAAATGTGTAAAGCATATGATGATCATACAGATGCAAAACAGTAAACAAAGTGGTGCTAGAGAGCTCAGCAAGCCACCGTGTTTGTGATGATTTTGAACTTCACTTTGCAGACATTTATTCCTTGATTTAACCCACCACAAGGACAACCGTCGTAACTCACTAGTACAGCAAAAATAGGGTAAGGAGTTATTTTTTTTTATTAATCATTTTGGTTGCATGTGTAGCTTACATTTACTTAATTAAATGTTTAATATTAGAAGTGTTTTGGTCTCGATTTAGAAATTTGGTGATTTTCTGACCAGAAATATGCCATAGGAACTTAACTCTTGTTTGTAGCAAATTATCAATTAGCCTGTGATAAAATTGGTTTCATGATACCATAACCAAGTGCAGGCTTGGCTGCATGCCCCTTGCCAACCCAATAACAAGGATGAAGTGCAGTGAAAGGAAAGTGGCTTTATTTTTCAAAGCTAGCAGTGGGGAAACAGCCCGCTTACACACCTCTGGAAACTGCTTCAAAAGCCTGGGTTGAAGGCAGAGGTTTCAAAAAGGGAAGCTCGATATGGGAGACATGCAGGAGTTGTGCCAGGAGCAGGGGTTGTGGTGTCTTGCTTCAATGCCTATCTTGAGTTATGGTCCATCTAAGATGCAGGCTGGTGTCATCTCGCCTGTGGCCAGGCTGCAGAGTATCTACCTTGAGGCAATCTTTAAGTGGGGGACAATTCTGCAGCTGGGCCTTTGTGCCTAGCTCATTTTAAATTAGCCCCTGGAATTTTTAAGAAGCATACAGTTACATAAATGTGCATTGGGTAAGGGAGTACCTTGTGGGAAATGGAGGGGAGTGGAGTTTCAAAGTATGTTTCAAGGCTATATTTTAAGACTAAAGAGAAAAGGTTTCTACAGTTTGTTTCAAGGTTACATCTTGAGACTGATAAGAAAGGAGAAAAGAAAAAATGTTTTGTTTTGAAGCTAAACTACTTGGTTACAATACTTTGTTTTGCTTAAAATTAGTTTCCAAGGACCTATCCACAATAACATTAATTGAGGACTTACTGTATTGAATGGCTTATCACATCAATGTCGAAACTGATGCTTTCATTCATTCAACAAATTATTATTGATACGCATTATGTGTCACATACTGGGTTTTGGCAATGAAGAAATATTTCCCTCCCCTCCCCTCCCCTCCCCTCCCCTCCCTTCTCTTCCCTTCCCTTCCCTTCCCTCCCTCCTCTCTTCCCTTCCCTTCCCTTCCCCCTTTCCTTTCCTTTCCTTTTAGTTCCCTCCCCCCTTCCCTTCCCTTCCCTTCCCTTCCCTCCCCTCCCCTCCCCTTCCCTTTTTTCTTCTTCTTTTTGATACAGAGTCTCATTCTGTCACCCAGGTTGGAGTGCAGTGGCACAATCACTGCTCACTGCAGCCTCTATCTCCTGGGCTCCAGTGATCCTCCCACCTCAGCCTCCCGAGTAGTTGGGACCACAGGTGCACACCATCATGCCTGGCTATTTTTGCATTTTTGGTGGAGATGGTGTTTCACCGTGTTACCCAGCCTGGTCTTGAACTCCTTAGCTCAAGCAACCCACCCACCTCAGCTTCCCGAAGTGCTGGGATTACAGGCATGAGCCACCACACCTGGCCAAGAAATATTTTCTTAATAATAAAGAAATTAGATAGGCAATATAAGGTAATGATTTTAGACTTGAGACAGCCTGGAGTTTGAATCCCAGTTCCAGGTATTTAATAGCAACATGACTTACACAATACTTAACCCATTTTGCCTCAGCTTCCTAATCTGTCAAAAAAAAAAAAACCCTTGTAGTACCTACTTAATAGGGTTGTTGTGATTAATGCGATAATTAGTGTAAAGCTTTAGAACAATGCCTGAAATTTAGTAATTATTCAATAATTAGCTATTAAAAATGTAACAGATATATATGTAACGTCAGATAGTGACAAGTGTTATAAAGAAAAAGAATTCAGGTTGGGTGCAGTGTGGCTCATGCCTCTAATCCCAGCACTTTGGGAAGCTGAGGAGGGTGAGCTCAAGAGTTTGAGACCAGTCTGGGCAATATGGCAAAACTCTGTCTCTACAAAAACCACACACACAAAATTTAGCTGGGCATGGTGGCCTGGGCCTGTGATCCCAGCCACCTGGGAGGCTGAGGTGGGAGAATCACCTGAGCTCAGGAGGTCGAGGCTACAGTGAGCCAAGATTATGGAAAGAATTCAGATAAGCGGATAGTGCATGGTGGGACTATTTTAGAGCAGCTGCTGCAGGAAGGCCGCTCTGAGGAGGTGACATGTAAGCAGGGACCGGAAACCATGTGAGAGAATATGCCATGCCATGGTTTGTGGAAGGACTATTTTAGATGGCAGGAACAAAGGCCCTGGGGCAGACAAGGGCTGCAAGGCCTAGGAAAGGTGGCCGAGAAAAAGATGCAAAGACAATTGTGAGCCAATCTCTACCCCTTTGTGCTCTTCCTGTTTACACCTTTGGAAGGCAGCTGTCTGGGGGGCTCTGATCACTTCCTGCAGGTGCCCTGAAAGGCCACATGAGGGGCTGCTGTAGCAAACTGAAAGTCTTAGAGATGGGAAATAAGCTTAATGGATAGTATATACTTACCTTTATCAAATACTACTAGTCAAGTCAGAAGATATTGACAGGTCTACAATCTCTTACCTTTCTTAAAAAATAGAAAGATAATAGAATGCCTGTAACTGTGTACATATTAACATTCCAGAAAGGCCTGGAGTGAAATGAATAAAAATTGACACTAAGTGGCATCCATAAAGGCTAGAAATAGCTTCATGCAAGCTTAGTTTAGATTTTGCAGGGCAGGTTTTACTTCCAAAGGGTTACAAAAAAGTCTTTGGGTTTTCAGTGCTCTTTGAATTTTGCAATTACAGATAAATGACTGGGAACCTGTAATAATTTCCTCCTATGTGTCATTTATAGGATCCGCACTCTGGGAAACAACTTGTAGAAGACAAAATAAAAACCAAAACTCTGTGTAATTCTGCCTTAGCTACCATCTTTGAAG